AGTGGGAGGAGCTTGCTGAGGTTTCCTGGAGGTGGGAGGGGTTTGATGACTGTCTTCCTCTAAGCGCAGTGGGGGCTGTTTTACTCCATTCTAGTGCAGTAGCAAATTCCCATATTAGTTGCCTATCTGTTCGATGCTAGCCTTTCCTTGGGTCCCTGAGGAACAGCAAGGTGGGCAAATGCTCCCCCTGTTCTCTGCGAACAGCAAAGAACAGCCACAGAAGCGACTGACATACAGGCTGCCAGTGCCTCTTAGACCTGCTCTCATTGCTTATTCTTGCCCCTGCAGTGAAGACGGGACCCAGTACTTGGTCTAAGTCGAACTTTGATGGGTAAAGATGTTTTAGAAAGAACATGAACTCAAGGAGACACATGCACCAGAATCTTTGCCAGGCTGTGCCCCGCACTTGGTTCCAGTCTCCTGCCCCATACATGATGGGGCTTCTCTCTTGCTTTAAGCTATGGATGCAGGCTTAGGTGGACCTGGCTAGCCCCTTCCTTCAGTGCCTTCTGGCTGGGTGGCACTTCAGGTAGGTTGTAGCCTTTCATGCCTGAGCCACTTATGTACGTTTCATCTAAAAATAACTGCGCAGCCACAGGCCCGAATCTCTCTGGAGTGACCTAAAACCAGTTTAAGAAGGGCTGACTAGCTGTTTGGCTCCCCAAGGAGTAGGGGGCCGGACAAGGAAGAGAGAACCTCATCCTCAAAAACAGAGGTTTGTGCCTCCCCCACCCTCCAGTCTGCCTCGTGCACAGCTGAGAGAGCAGGCGCCCCGGTGTCACTGTGTCCTGGTGAGCATGGTTATTTTTAGGGTAGAAGGACTGCACATAGCCTGAGATGATGGAGGCAGACCTAAGCCATCTGGGTCACCTCAATGCACCCAGGACTTGGGAAATTATGGATGCACAGAACTGAAGGACAGCATAGCTCTCTTCCGGATCTGCCACCAGCTATGACCTCATAGGCAGCTCATGGGGGGCTCTCTGACCTCCATAAAGCAGGAAATGTAAACCACCGGTAGGCCTATGAATATCCCATACATACAGCTGGGCACTGTTTGTCATCACATTGTTGGCAAATGGGGGAACTGAGGCACAGGAGGCCATGCCCTCCCGGATACTATTGTTACAGCTTTGGGGAGCCAGGCTCTCACATACACTGCAGGTTTAAGTGCTGACAAATTTAATGCCTGTACAGACACGGTAAGATTCAAGGATGATGATAGGGAAAATGAAGCTGTTCACCTCAGAACTGGTGAATAGATATGGAATTATTAACCATGGTGCTCCAGCACAGGTTTGTCCTGACTTTCCTTCCACTGATAAATGTGCACTACAAAGCGTAACCATCCGCACTGGACCATCAGATGAAGATATCTGGGTTCATTTTATTTTTGGGGGGTGGGGTCAACAGGTAGCTCAGGCTGGTCTGGAATTCTGGGTGTGCCAGGCTGACCACAGATCATGAGTCTTCTGCTGCAGACTTCTCAGTGTTCCGATTATAGGTGAGAGCTGCCCGGCCCAGATAACAGGTTCTTCTTTTGCCCCTCCCACCCGCCCCCACCTCTGGTTTTTGAGACAGGTGGGTTCTAAACAGTTCACACAGGTCCTAGCTTGTGTATATACATTCTGTATATACCAAATTCTCTGCAGGGATCTGATGTCTGAGTAATTATACATATTGGCCATGTGTTGTCCCCATGCAAGAGATAGACATAGAGAGACCACTGCTGGTGGCCTGTCCACAGCCAGGATCTGAGAGAGGCTAGGCCATTAAGAAAGAAACAGCCAACACAGGGGCTGGGAAGCCATTGAGTTTATTGGAGATACTTGGGGAAGCATGGGCAAGGAACTAGCAGCTGCAGAAAGAGGGGTGATCTTTTAGGCATGGGCTGATGCAGGTCCCTAGAAACCAGGGGAACACGGGGACTCAGAACACTTCCCGCCTGACACGTCGCATTTTAAACCAGCTACACTCACGGCCTTTGGAGAAACACTTCCTAGAATCAGTTCTGAACAGCTTAGATAAGTTGACAACAGCCACACGTGCATGAGTGACCTCTGTGTACTAGGTAGGATAATGGAAGTACCCTGCCATCCAGTCTTGGCTGCTACCTGCTGGTCCATCCAGTCTATAGACCTACCTTGTTCTGGCCTATAGAAAAAGAGTTCACTGAAATTCAGAAATGGGACTGAAATAGGCCAGGCCACCCCCAGTGCAGGACCAGTAGCAATGGGGAAATGCCAGAGGCGTGGACTAGAGGCCTGAAAGCAGGTTCCTTCAAGGGCTCTGACAAAGCACGGAGGTACCAGGGTTTTCATGTTTAAATCTCTCATTTATTTGATTTTCTTAGATATTCTAAGTATAAGACTCACTAACACTAGCTGGGCGGTGGTGGCGCACACCTTTAATCCCAACACTTGGGAGGCAGAGGCAGGCGGATTTCTGAGTTCGAGAGTTCGAGGCTAGCCTGGTCTACAGAGTGAGTTCCAGGACAGCCAGGGCTACACAGAGAAACCCTGTCTCGAAAAACCAAAAAAAAAAAAAAAAAAAAAAAAAGACTCACTAACACTGTCAGTTTGAGGGGACTCCACTGGGCAGCTGCTCCTGTGCTCAGGCAGAAGGCTGCACACTGCTTGGCTGTACATGTCTGTGAAGACACTTACAGGGGCACTTTAAATGAGGCCTAGTCGGAAAGCTTCAAGAAGCACCTGGCCTTTGGGTGAGACATTTAAAAATACAAACCCAAAACGCACCCACCCCCACCTCCATTTCAGCTTCTCTTGGTAACTTCCGAGTTGGAATGAAGCCACTCCATTTAGAACCTGCTTGTACAAGTTCTTGGTTGTCAAGGTAAACTGAAGGAGCCTTGTGCCCTTGGTGGAAGAAACTCAGCTGAGCTCCTCCATGTAGTTGGAGTATTCAGATGCTGATCAACTGCCAGGGAACACAGAGGAGGGGACATCTCTGGACTGACCTGCTTGGAGGGTACGTGCCAGATGAAGAGTGGTGGCGTGGGGTGAGAGGGGGCCTGGCCAAAACCATCTGTCTACAGCCTTGTCTCTTGTGGGAGAAAAATCTGGGCTTCCTGCTGTGCTGGGCATAGGTGGCACTGTGAGGCAGGTCAGAGACAGGGGCACCTTTCCCTAGCTCTTCATCACAGGGGCCTTTATTTCTTTGTACTTATTTTCTTCTCTATAGGATGGACCTTCAGAGTTTTCAATGGGGTTCCTGACTCTATCTCAAGAATCAACGAGGTTCCTCACTCTTGTCTACCTCAAGGGTCAATGAGATTCCTGACTCTATTTTCCCTCAAGTTCTTGGGTCTTCACTTGGAAACTCTCCCATGCATGGAGGATGCACCCTACATTAAAGTGAAACTCACGGCTGCAGCCCATATGCTGACCTCAGACTGGTCAACAGTGGCTTACCTAAGACGGCAACTCTTGTAGAGGTCTACTTAGCTGGGTGGTGAATAGCCTGGAAACTTCCCCATCTCCCCTTGATGGTTCAGAACCCACAAGGGTAGAAACAATAAGAGTTGCTTGTTTTATACAGTCACACTTGGCAATGATGCAACGGAGATGGTGGGCAAGTGTTCAGCCATTTATTCTAAGTCACAGAGGCCACTGCTCTGAGAGCCGTACATTGGAAATGGCCACACATACATGAGAGGCTGGAGGGCAGTACAGTGGGAAAACAGGAGAGAGAAACATTCACAGCGCTATGCAGCAGTTGCATAGGATACAGTCATCATCTTAACGTCACAGAACGTCCTTACTCAGGACCACCTCATTACATTTAGAAGGTCAGGGTCATGAGTGGTGGGCCTGGTTGGTGGAGTCCAGTGGCATAGAGCACAGCAGCTACAGAGGGGTGTGGCTAGAACCACCATGGAGAGATCCATTCCGGCTTCTAGCTTCAGGCTTACAGCACACTTAGCTGAGTCCTTGCCTAGTTTCCCAATTCTTCAATTTTTTTTGGAAAAAGATACCTATAAAGTAACAAGCTTGTGGCAGCCACGTCCAGATATGAGGCCTAGGCGGCAAAGCATCTAGTTACAATGGGTAGGCACCACTGTGGGGGGGGGGGGCTAACACCTACCCTGCACGCTGTCCAGTTAGTAACAGTCTTTACACTTGTTGTGTGAGATTTTCCTCTTCTCCAAATGACAATACCTTGAAATAGCCATTTAAAATGCAAAACAAATGGCATGAGACAGAAGCACACACAGAGTAATGGTAATTGCATGTTAAGTGGCTTGGTCCATACTTCACACTGACGTGCACTGTGAACGAAAGGCTGCATCTATCTACATGATAAGAACTATAAAGAAGCACTCAAACTGTTTTCCCTTAAAAAAAAAAAAACCTCTCATGTCTCCCAAAAAACCAAGAGGAAAAACAACTCTAAATATTTAAATGAGATTTGAAATCTACCCTTTGAACCAATCTAAATTTCCTAAACACTTTGTCTCCCCAGTCAGATAGTCTCAACCCCCGAACGTGAACACTTTGAGGTATCTTTTAAATTAGATGGTACTAACAACTTTACCATCTTTTTCTAAAACCACACTATGCCTGGATAGTTTGTATATGCTCTGCTCAGGGAGTGGCATGATTAGAAGGTGTGGTCCTGTTGGAGTAGGTGTGTCACTGTGGGTATGGGCTATGAGACCCTCATCCTAGCTGCCTGGAAGCCAGTATTCTGCTAGCAGTCTTCAGATGAAGACTGAAGCTCCTCCTGCACCATGCCTGCCTAGATGCTGCCATGTTCCCGCCTTGATGATAATGGACTGAACCTCTGAACCTGTAACCCAGCCCCAATTACATGTTTTCCTTATAAGCATTGCCTTGGTCATGGTGAGTGTTCACAGCAGTAAAACCCTAAGACAAAGCCCTAGATGGAAAAGACCAGAGAGTAGCTCCTCTGATCTGGCAGTGCAGTGTGTTCTCATCTGCCTAAGCGAGGTCAGCTCTGTGACCAGTGATCATGTGTCTTAGTCCTATAATAAACACCAGCCATAGAACAGGAATCACAGGTCTAGAGGGGGCTGTCAGCACTGTGGTCGAATCCACACCTCACTCAGAGATCTGACCACCTTTTCAAAATCTTTGTCAACAGGCTGTGGCATACAAAGTACAAGGGAGGGCCCCATTCAGGCAAGACACTGCTGCCCGTGCTATCCTTGAGGCTTCTGGTGGGAACGCAATGCTAAAAGGAAAAATAGAGACCTAAACTCCTGAGGGTTGGTGTGTAGTTCCTGGCTGTCAAGCTGAAGTACAGTTTACAGGAGCACACAGGCTTCCCTGGTAGGACCTTACTGCCTGACAACGTGGCAAACTGATTATCATCAGTGTCATTTCATCAGGGTGCTGAGAAGCCACCTCAACACAGCCTTATTTTAAGGGAAAAAAAAAAATAAGAGCACTTTGGAAATGTTTTTCTTTTGCTTTAAAATATAAATCTTAGTGAACAAGCTCACTTATATACAAATATATATGTATTTAATTACTATGAAAAAGCAAAGCCAGAAGCCCTTCATTAATGCATATTCCGGTTACTGTGACATGTAATGCAGAGCTATTCTTTTGCTTTAAAGCTCAAATTCAAGCTTTTTAAGGATGTTAAACAAAAATATAGTATGCTTTAAAATATGACTCTGAGATGCTGAGAAGGCAATGTCTCTCATCACGATGACGAATGCTGTAGGCCCAGGCCAGGAGGAGCAGCCCTTAGCCAGCAGGGCAGAGGGACTCTAGGGCAGTCAGTAGGGACTAATGTAGGAAGGGGTGTCGAGATACAGATCAATGGTACCATCCACCTTCTGGTGTAACATGTTCCCACTCATAATCACAGGCAAGCACCAAAAGTTATGACAAATTTGCTCAAAACAGTATCAAACCTGAGTTCAGAGACTTCCTGCCCAGGCAAAAGGGCTGCCCTTCTGCCTACACACAATGCCACTGGTAACAGTAAATGCCATTATTCTCTGAATGTTCTTTGAGATTCTCCTGTTCACACTTCATCTCTGTCTAACTGCCTGTTGTGATCAACCTGGGACATTTGAGACCTCAAATTTCCCTCCCAACTTTATAATTTTTGTAATTTCATTAATAATTCAAACAACTGAATGAGAAACACATGTTAACTGACCTTTTATAAAATGATAAAAAAATTCTAAGCACTTATTCTTTTTTTTTTAGTTTCCTCCTTTTTATTATCAAAGTATATCAATACTTTTCAAAAGAAAGGAACGGAAAGAAAATTCTATCACATAACATAGTATCCTCTCAAAATGTGAATTGGATCATGATTTATACAAACTAAGGGCTTGTTATCTCTGGTGTTCATCAAGTGGCAATTTGGTTTAATGCATGCCAGAAGAACTCACAGTATCACATGCATGCATGTATGGTTTTCTGATACATTCTTTTCCATCAACAGCCACATGGGTAAGAAGGGCGGAAAAGGCAGAGCCACGGAAACCTTGGTCGATCTGTGGTATACACCCATGATTTTCATCACTGTCAACTTTCAGTCTCTGGGCACTCCTGAGGATGGGCCATAGCTGGGGCATGACCAAAATGGTGTATAGGGCTACCCCACAGTGTAAAGTGTTCTACTGAAGGTCTGAATGCATCCATACAGGACTGGGAATCCACACGGGCGTGCTGGGAGCCTGAGCCTCTGCTTTCCTAATACTGTACTTCCTTCCCTTGGCAGTCATGCTCCAGTTCAGACAGACTTACTTCTGTTACTGATTTGCAACACACAGTTCTCTGCAACTTGTCAAGTGGCTATAGATTCTAGCAATCAACCACACCATTGGTATTTGAATATTTTAGCTCTAATTCCCTTTTCAAAGCTCTGTGATGCAGAAAAAATTGATAGCAGTTATAGTGGCCTGACTACGGTTAGGTGGCATTTCACGGACCAGGCTGTTAGATCACAGTGGTGATGACTTCCTGGGCAGAATCCTGCTCTCATATCGCAGATGGCCAACAGGGGTGTGGCCATGTGAGGCGCACACCAGCCCTGCTTCCCGGTGCCAGGTAGCAGAAGCGGCTTGTCCTAGGGAGCACTCTGGGTTGCCAGTGCTAAGAGTGGCTGGTATCCACGTATGGTGACTATTACTTCCTCTGCAAAGACAAGCAACGATGACATGGAAGGAACTGCTTCTCTGGAACAGAACAAAAATAACAGGAGGACTGTGTTTCATTCAAGTACTTTGTGCCAGGCAACACCTGTTAGGTCAGAAGTGAGCAAGATGCTGTGGCAGATGACATGGAGAGGGTAGGGCAAGCAATCTGCCTATTTGTCCAGAAGGACTCTGATCTGGCAATGCTGTGCCATTCCTGACAGGTGACTATGGGTGCAGGGCTTGGAGAGGCCGGCCAGTTCCCCACCACAGGCTTGCCACTACTTTGAATCCTATCTTGAGGGCACACAGGGAGTCCTTACTGTACACATCAAGCTGGGCTGACTTCCTTTGGAGGATTCTGTTCCTTTCTTAGTACCTCTGTTTAGATCACACACTGGCTTCATAGCAGAGTATACATTAACACAAAGATGCTTAAATACCTGATTTCTTAAAGAGAAACTAAATTATGACTGGTGAAAAGAGCAGGACTCTAATCTTAATGTAATACATGTTCACATACAGGGGCAATGCCACGCAGAAAGACGCGCCTTCAAGACACGTCCTTCTGGAGCACAGACAGTTATGTTTGTCTTTCATGTTATAAATGAAGGAAAGTTACCAAAAAATAAAGAATAAAAAAATAAAATAAAACAAATCCCCATAGTCCAAAACACAAAGGTCTCAGAAGGCTCTCACTGGCTTTTGAGAGTCGCAGGCACTGCACGGTAAGGCTGTCACAGGACCTGTGTCCCGGCTGGTGGTCGGCAGAGGCTTCTACAGCATTGCTAATGCGATGGCACAGAATGCCAGAGCGGAGCTGCAGGGACTTCCGACAGCACACCTGCTCCCTCCAGGTGATGCCGGAGACTGGCTGTTGGACATGCATGGTTTTCCAACTCTTACCCCAGGCCATGAAAGAGAAACACTGGCACAAAATGTGATCATCCTCTGTGGTGAGAGGCAAATGAGGCTGGGGGAGGAAGACTCAAGGGAAGAGAAGGACCGCCTGTACATGCTGAGGTGGAAACGAGGAGACCGCTTTAGGAGGAGTCAATACCTTCAACAGACGTTTCTCTCTCTTTTTCCTGACACAGAAAGCAATGAGTACAACACATAGCTGAAATACAGAAGCCTAAACATCTACACAGATTTTCCAATATACTCAAAATAATGCAGCCCAGTCAGGCTGTATAAACCATTTGATAAAAAAATATCTTCTCTTCTGTGGTATGGACAACTCAAGAGTCCTGGGAGGGAATGCACTTTCACTAGTTCATGGTAACAGTGTAGGGAGGGTACAAACTCGCCGCCAGCCTTCAGTCCTCTTCCTGCTCAGACGGCTGCTTTACTCCTCCTGTAATGACTCTGGACTCAAGTGCTTCTTCAGTGAAAACTATCTCCTAGTCCCTGGGAGAGTCATCATGACACCACTGGGGTCATGTCCCACAGCTGCACAGCAGAGAGAGAAGCCAAGGATGAATTAAGATCAAACTGTACTGAGGATGAATAATGCTCAGAAAAGGGCTCAATTCAAAGTGGTGTTTTGGTTTCGTTCCCAGTTATCAAGCAAATGCACACAGCACAGCCTGACTTCTACATACGGGTGGCTGACATGCTGCTCCAGCTAAGGAGAATAAAGGCTGTCAGATCCACAGAGGGAGAGAGGAGCCAGCACATGCCTGGGGGACCTTCCAAACAATTCTCTAAGACATCAAAAGAAGTCCCAGGCCTCCAAGTTTGCTTGAAATCACCTCTAACAAGGTCATCCTACTGCTGCCTCCGAGGGAGGACAAGGGGGACAAAGAGTCCACCCCCTGTCCTGGGCCTCTGTGTGGCCTACCACATACTTCACAGGCCTGGATCCGCACTCTTGGAGTCAATAAGCTTGGTAGGAAAAAGGCTCATGCATTACCTGGTAACTGACTCCAGGCCTGCCTTCCAACCAACATCCAGTTCAAGATCACCTGCATCACAGAGCTCGTGAGCAGCCCACCTCCCTCTGTGGGTCCTGATCACTGTCGCTCCTATGTCACTCCTGTGACTTCTCTGTGTGTCCATGTGTGTGAGAATTATAGGACAACCTAAAGCATCCTTCCTCAGGAGCCAGCCATCTTTTTTTGAGACAGCTTCTCTCACTGAGACCTGTGGCTTGTTGATTAAGCTAGGCTGCCTGAATCCTCTGGGATACACTTGTCTGTCTCCCCAGCTCTGTGATTCAAAGCATTTGCCACCGTGCCTACACTTTTTAAAAAAAATAATGAAGGTTCTAGGGATGAGCTGAGCTCTGGTTCTTGAAAACACTTTATCAACTGAACTATCTCCATAGCTTCCCATCATCAGCATCATCACCACCACCACTAACCTGCCTCTGTCTCTGGAGTGCTGGGATTGAAGGTGTGCACCACTGCAGCCAGGCCCTACTATTGCCTTTTAAAGCTCATATCCTCAGTAAATTATCCTGTGCATTGGTGTGGTGGGTGCAGCAGGCTCCCAGTGCTCACTTCCAGGGATAACCTGAACACAGCCTCATACTCTTGATCCTGCTGTCTGCATTCAAGGCCCACAACAGAAAGCATAACAAGATGGCGTCTTACCTTAATCACTTTGTCAGTTCCAGAAGTCAGTAACCATCCCCTGGTTGCATCGAAATGCACATGCACAATGTTATGCTTACTGTCATGGAAGGTGGCTGTGGGTGCGCGTCTGCAAGGAGCAAGACGAGAGTCAGGGGCGGACATATGGGTGACAGCGAGCCAGGCCAACCTGAGATTCTAAGTGTTAGCCTAATGGCTGGCGACTGCTTCGCTGCTAGAAATGCTTTTGCTTTCACTCCTGGGTGATCTGTTACATGATATGATGACTGATTTTGTATGTGTGCTTGCCTGTACAAGTTAGTGTGAGTACAAGTGCACAAGTGGAGATCAGAGGACGACTCTCCGAGTCGATTCTCTCCTGTTAACTTGTGAGATCCAGAGGCTGAACTCATGCTGTCAGCCTAGGCATGAGAGCCTCTACTCACTGAGCCATCTCACTGGCTCTGATGCGTGATTTTATAAGGATAACGAAGCATGATTCTTCTGGCCTCTAGAATAGAAAAGATGAAGCCTTCAAGTTCCTTCCGGAAACGGCATCCACAATCATCTCTACCTGTGCTTTGGAGAAGACTTTTAAAGACCACAATACCTTTGCCAAGTCTGTGCATAGGAGGAAGGAATATACTCTGGCCTAGACTATTTCTTTTTTAAAGGTGTGGTTTAAAATGACACCACTGTCTGTCTAACTGAAGGCCATCTATGTTTTCTTCTCTTTCCCACTGGTGTAACTGCAAATATAAGTTTTAAAAATGGTATTCTAAAGCTTCCATAAGCAACATATACATATGTGTATATGTATATATCAAGCTACATAAATATCTTAATACACATACAGCATTGACTGTTTTGTGTTCTTTGGCCTATGGCTTTGTTGCCAATTTTAGTAAGGCCCGTTGGTTGCCTTGACACTCTAGAGGCAAGGTTTAGCATGCTTGCCAGAGAAGAGGCAGAAGACCAGAGGTGGAGCTGGGCAGGCCAAGTGGGCCCCCCTCATCATGGTTCAGGGTTTCTATACTGCTGTGAGCTCTCAGAAAATGGCCGTCTCTTCGCTATAGTAGAATCTACAGCAAAGACTTTCAGTAGTAAAATAATCACTGTACATGATTTTGGCTTAACTTGAAATTTCTTAGACCCAGACCTGTCTTGATTAAGATGAAGACTCTAAGGCCCCTGCAGTCTTCTCCAGTGATCAGAACTCTCATTAATCTCATCATGTGCTCGAGAGGCAAATAATCAGTGCACATGAACAACCACTTTGCCAAGGACATCTTGATGTGTATTTGACAGGGTGACGTGATCTGACTGTACTACAAGGTGCCGGGAGGACTGGAGACTGGTTATCCACCAGCACTCGATGGTCGCAAGTTGTTTCTGTGCATTTTGTTAGTGTCTGGGGTAGTTTTCAATTCTCAGAGTTGCTTGTTCCAAATCAGAGCTAAGATCTCAAGACACCAGGCAGAATGTACCAGCAGAGAGGAGGGCATCTGGGACTATTTCCATCTTGGGAAAACAGGCTTCATCCTTCCTGGAAACTAACATCTGCTGGAGCCCTTGACTGGTCCAACATCTGTAAAGACACCAGCCTGGCACCAAAGTGAATCCTGGCCTTGGTTCCCCTGGAGAGTCTCAGTGAGAAAGCTGACAGCTTTGCTTTCGAGCATCTGCTTAGACACACACCCTGAGATTATTAAGAGCCCAGCAGGGAGTTCTTTGAGCACATCCCCTTTTCACCTGCCTCTCATAACCACAGGGATGTCTTGTGGCATAGGGCTTTTACTGCACACTTCAGTTTACACTGTACCCAGCAAGCCAGGCAGGTGGAATCTTTCAGGAGTGGAATTCTCAGGCTGGGCTTTGTCCATAACCCAGAGGGTGCAGGGCGTGGGACTTACTCTTCATCTGTGATGGCCTCGTGGCAGCTGTCGCAGACCCGCACTTCAAACTCAAAGCCCATGAGTGGGATGGAAGAGCGCTTGGAGCTGCACTTGCCGCACACGGCCTTCCCACACTTCCGGCAGTGGTGCTGGGAGAAAAGGGAAACAGGCTACCATAGCTCTGGCTGCAGTCCTGGCACACTTGTAAACTAACTGCTCTTGGGTAAGACACCAGGCCAGAGTGCCTGGAGCTGTCCATGATAGCACAGTCTCACAGTCCCAGCACTAGGAGGCTGATGCCAGGTGACCAAGTGTTTGCAGCCAAACTGGGACTTATTTGTGTCTTAGGTAGAAGGGGGTTTATATTTAACGAAGAATATTTAACATGATAGCATGTACTAAAAGGACTAAAAGGACTGCAGTTATCCCCAGTAACTCAATACATACATATACATGATAGACACTATATCACACGCCACACACGCACACACACACAAAAACATAACATAATGCAACAGTGTTCCTGCAAGCCACCAAGGGCCCATCAGATTTCTACTCCCTTTGACTTTGGTCTCAGTCAGAGTGGGCACTTGTGGGAAGCGTGCCTCCCCTCTTCTGGTCCCCATTCTCCATCCTCTTCAATACCACTGCTGTGAGCTACACAGAGGAGGCACCCAGTGGCCAGATCTTTGTCTGCAGCTCTAACGGTGTTCAACTTAGGTGACCTAACATTTGATTTCCACGGGGAAGACCAAACCAAACCATAGAGTCAGAGTTTGACAATGCTGTTATAATGTAACAGATCTTAGACAACTGAGACTAAGTCAGAAAGAGAGAAAGTGACTAAGAAGTAAACATGCTCGTGTAATTTCATGGACGGGAACTCACATGAGCTAATGGGACACCTCTAATGTTGAGGTGTCCCCCAATAGACTCTGTTAGTGTTTTAAAAGAACAAACCACTAGGAAGCTCCATCCACCAGGGAGGGGCTGCAGTAGACACGGAGGCGTCACAGGTGTGAGGTCACTTACTCTACGACTGCTCCCATGACAGGGAGGGATACTACTTCCACAATTATACAGTTATGTCCCCTCTAAATACCAACTTTAATAGAGCACATGTCACCTACCTGTCTTAGCCCAATTTTCTTACTGTCCCACATTTGCTTGAAGTTCCAGAAGAAAGGCTGGTCACACTTTTGGCAGGAATCACTGTCCAACCACTCGGGGGTCTTGACAAATAAAGCACAGAGCAGGTCACAGTGAGAAGCGGCATGGACAAAGGAACCATGGGCACTGCTTACACTTGCAGATCTCATCAGAAACAGCTGATTCCTCAAGCAGTCACAAAAGCAGTTACAGAAGGTCTGTTAATTGTCAGGCCCTGAGAAAGGGATACAGTGGTAGATAAACAGAACCTGGAATCATAGAGATTATCATTTGCCTGGGAAGATGTCATGAAAATGAAAATATTATTAGTAATGTGTCCAAGAGTTTAAAAGCCTAAGGAACGCAGAATGCTCGAGGCTCTGAGAGGCTAGGGTCTGGTAAAGTAGACCAGAGGCTATGACCTAGGCCAGAGGTCTCTTTAGAGGGCAAGTCAGCTGAAGCAGGAAGGGAGGAGAGGTGGGGGGGGGTCTGAGGAGAGATGAAGCTGGGGGGAGTGTCCGTGGTCATGCTTTGCAGGCTCCTGACCACCATGCTGAGAAATTCAGTCCCTAGTCTCTAATTACATACTATGATGTCTAATTGCACATTACATATATATACAATCTCACCATAAGTAGTCTAAATAAGTCAAACAGGTTTTAAAAGCATGTTCCACTTAAAAATATTCCTTAGCAGATCTTGAGACAGAAAGTGGACACAGAACTGGACTTGTGGTACAACAGTGTTTGCATAAATTCACATACACACATATACACTAAGCACAGTTATATCATTCACACATACATACATACCTCTCACACATACACTACACACAACCATACACATATACATACACACATATATATCATACAAACTCATACATACATATGTATGCACACACAGTCATATATTCATACATATACAAACAACTAACACACACATCACTCATTCATACATGCACATATACTCATATACATACATACACATGTTACATATAAACCACATACTCACATCTCACACATACATCAACTCACGCATATATGTACATAAATACACGTCTCACACAGACCATATATCCTCTTACAAACACACATATACCACGAATGCTCACATACATATATAGACACATTATATACACTAACATACATATACAACACATACATAATACACACAAATATACTTATAAACACACACGCATATCACAGATAAATATACCACCCTCCCCAACACATATACACCTTCCCCATCACACATACATACTACACACATACACCATATACTCATACAGCACATACTCACATATCTGCGGTACACATGCATCACACATACCACACACATCTTCACACATATACCCACACACATCTGGGTGTCAAATGCAATACAGTGGGTGCCTATGATGAGGGCATTCAGGGAAAAAAATCAATACATTTAATAAAATCCTATTTTGTGTTAACAGAATTTTTGTAACTGTAGAGAAAAACAGAAGGATGGATGTTTGTCAACATGGAGAGTCCTTGGTAAGTAACAGATTTTGTAAATACGGTGGTATCTTGAGTCACAGACCTGTTCTCTATTTGTTAATGAGTATTCTCTGACCTGTACTCAGCAGGGTCCTCCCTCTCTGGCCCCACACTGTCCTCCATCTGCAGCTCCTACCTAACTGCTGCTACTTTCCCATCAGCACCGACCCAACACAGAACATGTCCCACTCACCAGCTCTTACTCCTGGTGTGTCTCTGCCTGTAGAGCCCATGACCCTCTCAGTAACAACATGGTGTGCAGGCCCCATTGAACCCATCTGGCAGCTGTCCTAACATCCCTTCCAAAACACCCAGCACTGACTTTCTGTCTTACTAGTGTTGACTGGAATTTCAGTATTTATACAATTTAATAGTCCTCAGAACTTTCTAGAAAGTCTGTTAGCAGGACTTCAGGTTAGAACAAACTTCATTATTGCTAGCACCCCACAGCCTCTGCCATAACTAGGAAGCAGTTCCCAGATGCTTACAAAGTATGGTGTTTGCAAAAGATGGATGGAATTGTTCCCACTGCTCATCAGCGCTTCCAATTAACAGGATCTTAAACCCATCGACAAGTGCTGAATGTTCATATATATGCATGTCAGAATGGCTCAAAGCTGGCTCCCAAATGCCTACTTTCATCTTTGGAAACAACATTATATTCCTTTGGGTTGTTCTTCCATTTAAAAAAAAAAAGCCCACAAACGCTAAACTTGACTCTCCCTAGCTCAAAGCAAGCCAGGACACAGTCTGTAGCTCTAGGGGAGACTGCTGAACTCGACCAGCTCGGCGGAGCTGTGATGATCCTCTGCTCTGCCGGATAAGGATGGTGCTTTCAAAAGCAATACTCTACATTTCCCTGCTTCCTACCAGAAGAGATCATTTTAATTAGTTGCTAATAGAACTCCTGTGGATTTATGGTCCCACAAAATAAAGCTGTAATCTTCCTAAGCATTTAATTCCTGGCATTTGAGGGCACTGCATTGTGGCCAACTCCAGTGACTGTCTTGGGATGAGGCTGGGTGAGGGGATGGAAAAACCTGGGGAAATCCCTTTTGTCTTTATAAAGTGTGCTTTTCTCTTTAATTCTAACACCTTGTAAGGAATACAGGACAAGAATGTTGACTGCCAAAGGGAAAGTTTACTCAGAATAATTCTAGGTCAATAGAGAATGGTTAACTTCAAAATATTTGTTCAGGGAATATTCACTAAACATATTAGTTGTTAAAATGCTTATAAACTAAAACCAAAAGTAATTTAAAAAGTGTTATGGTAAAATTTAAATCTGTGCTTAAGAGGACAAAGTCTCATATCTGGGGACTGTTTAGAACATGACAAACAGTCACAAGAATATGAATTTCCATTAAAACCAACCTAAGGGCTCTTCTTCCTTGGGATTTTTCTAATATATGATACAATGTATCTTATTTCATGGTTTACTCATTATAGAAACGAACAGGAGGAGAACAGAGGCAGACCTGCAGGCCTCACCTACCTCCTGCCTTTCCACATCCATGTTCCAGACAACAATGCCACCATCACCGCCACATGAGATGAGCTGCCGTGTGTGCTGCGCATAGGAGAGGGCCTGGACTTTGTCACTGTGAAAGAAAACAAGGGTTGGAGCCATTTTGGGGAAGCAAGTAACAGGCTCCACAGCAGACACCACCATCAAAGCCATCAATAGCCACACAATACCAACAAGTAGCTAGGGGAATTTACAGGCCCTTTGACATGCTAATGGCCAGACCCAAAATGAGTTTAGATGTTGCCTTTGCCTTCCCAGGCCCAGGAGAAAGTACTTTTGGTCAGTTACCACAGTCAAATAAGAGATGATTGCTGACTTCAATGTTGCAGTGGAAACTGGTACATTTGCTTGCTAGTCTGAAATGCTTGCATAAGGCAGGTCTCAACTGTCTCTAGCCTCCCTCCTCCCGATTTTCTCCATGAAATAGCAGTTAGTTATCTTGGTAATTATTACAATTAAATGAGTAATTAAGGGCCTGGAGCAATGGATCAATGGTTAAGAGTATCGGCTGCTCTTCAAGAGGAAATGGGTTCAATTCCCAGTACCCACATAGTGGCTCACAACCACCTGGTATCTGCAGGGATTCAGTGCCCTCTTCTGGCCTGCACAAGCAGCAGGCACGGACATAGTGTGGAGATAAACAGGTAGGTAACATATTCATATACATAAAACTCAAAAGTGAGTAATGAAGACTATGCCAGCTGGTGTCTGTGGTAACACAGACTTGTAATTCAGCACTGGAGAAGCAGAGGTGCTAGGATCAAAGTCCACTGGCCCAGACCCTCTCCTGACTTTTACAACATACGCAAGGAAATCAAAGAACTTTGGTTTAAAACAATGATACAATATTCATTTTTTACATTAAAATGAGAATAAAACAAATTCATTTGAAAACTGCAATGAGAAATCCATTCATTCCATTTGGACATTTATACATATTACAGGAAAAAATAATATTCCAAAACAGAAAGAATGTGGAGGGAAAAATCCACTGTTTGATGTCCTTGAAAGTTTTCCTACTGTTTAGCTTTAGTAGGAGACTGATGTCCAGTCTCCTGCATTCATCAATACCACTCAGCATCTAGCCCAGGAAGCCCTGGAAGCCCCACTGAACACTTCAGAGGGGAGAATTCCAAGTGGTCCCAGAACGAGGGGTGGCTTGGAAGGAGGTGGTTGGTTCTGTTTTGCGGTATCTGAGAAGTCCACGGAGACACTACAACACGGGCCGTGTTCCTCAGCTGCAACTGCACAGTGGAAGAGGACACTCTTTATCTCACAGCCTAGCGGGCAGAGAACTTGACTAATGCCCTTGATATTTTAAGAAGGAAGGGAGATAAGGGGCAGTCTCTTGGGGAAAGGCTCCACTCCTTACACTGGTGTTATGCTCACTCAGTGTTTATGTTAAGATATGTACTACTACTTCGCACAGACACTCAGTGTCTTGACTTAGCCAAGTACCCTGACTCAGCAGCACCATTGATTTTGACTTTTCACACTAAATAACTATTCAGAAAAAATATAATCTTCAAGATGCTTAGTGTCAAGACTCTCTCAAGAAACTTCCCAGCGATCATATCCATCAGTTCTTTAAAACAACGTCATTGTGAAGAAGAGACCCCTGGTCACAGGCTACTGAGTGTTACCACATTGCTTAGACAGTGTTTAGACTGTGCAGTGGACTAATCAGGATTCTCGTAAACTTTGGGAAGTCACTTTGTTCTGGTTACAGATGGTACCATGAACAGGCACGACTACACCAGACACAGCAGCATGTGGACTGCAGCGTCCTCGGAAAACAAGAAGTAGACCTGCTGCCTAGAATCCTGTTGATGTTTTAATATTGTATTTTCTCGGTATGTTTTTCCTCTTCCTTTAAGCATGTCTAACCTACAACGTAGTAAATTCTACTTCTATAGTCTATACGAAAACATTTAAATCTCACACCTTCCACAATTCCAAGCTCTTAAGACTTCCCTTAATTTTCATGATAATAGTTATTCAATGGGTTCTACAACAACTGATCCAAGAGAATGGGGAGATGGACCAATCAGTGAACTACTTACCACAGAAACATGAGGACCTGAGTTTGAACCCTCAAAGGAGCTCTGACCCCAGGCTGAGAACCACTGTGTTCAGGCATCCTGATAGATACTATACATCAGTGATCTTGTGAAGCCAAAAAGTCCTTCAGAAAGAAGTGTGTCACGGTTCCCAGCTGGTGGCTGCCTTTGGGGACACTATGTCATGAGGCTCCAGGATTGTTATTCTTCCACACAGGAGAGTGGAACACAGTGGCAAATGCCAGCCCTTAGGCTTTGTAATAATCTGCTTGGCATTTCCTAATTTAAGGCTTGACAGTTTAACTACCTCATGGTTAAAGACTAGGTGAGGGTCTGAGCAGACACCGCCTTTATCTCCATGGTTCATCTGCTACCACGTTCTCAGGCTTGATGAGATCTGTATAAAGTCTGTCCTAATGATGGAGACACATTCTTGAGAACAGCGTGGTGTATCAGATGATTTCATCATTGCGTGTACAGACCTAAAGGGTATAGCCTAGGTCTGCACTTTGGCTACACTGAATATAAGCCTGTACAACCTGTCACTGTGCTCAGTTCTACTGGGGCTTCAAATACGATGCCATTTGCGTGTTTAACACAGTTATACATTTTTTTCAGCCCTATTATGTCCTTACAGGACCAGTGGTTAGCTACCTCAAGAGGTTGGCAAGAAGCAGCAGAAAAAAGGCCCATGCCAGCTTGCTCCCCAGTCCCTAAGGTCAATTACATCCCTGATTTGCATTAACTCTGACCACTAGTCATCCTGGGGCAAGGAAGGAAAACCAGGAATTGTTAAGGAAGAGGCAATCTTGAGCGTAAGCTGAAAAGAAACACATCACCAGAGTAAGCAGTTGTCACACACTTGCCGGTGTCCACCCTCACATTTGTCTTGCCTGGGTAGATGCTTGCTAGCCAACACAAGGTCGACTGGCTACTGATCTAGCCCAATACATAGGGCAGGTTGGAATCAAATATTGGGTGAGGTTTACAATATAGTATGCGTGGTATCACCTCTGCCCTCCTTAAGCTGCCAGGAAGCCTGGACTGTACAGAGTTTACAGGCTTCCCGGCTTGTACTTTACAATGTCTTGCCTCACTGTCAAACACTCACTTATACCCTCTATGATTTTATTTTTTTCCTTTGTATTTATTCACAGCCATTTTCCCCATGTGAGTTCAGAAGCACTCCCATTGGCTTGAATCAGGTATAGCTACCTGCCTTTGTGCACATGGAGTCAAGGTGGCTGTTACTATGTTCCTGTCTTGCACCTTCTGGTGCAGAGGTCCTGCCAGCATGCCCTGTGCCTCTGCTCTGCCCCAGCCACGAGGATGCTGTGAGAGACATCATGGAGGACTAGCAGCAGTCTTACTTGTGTCCTTGGAGCTCGATGGCCGTCCCTTTTCTCCCACCGATGTCCCACATGATGACAGAGTGATCAGAACTGCCTGAGAATAGCACACGCTGGACCGGGTCCCAGCAGAGTGCTGTCACCCCTCCTAAGAGAAAAGACACAGCCAGGTGTTAGTCATGGAACAATATCTTTACCACAAAATGGGAACGTGAAGGCATCAGGACCCACACAGTCCCCAAACAAAGCATTTGTTAAATCAGTGGGTGAGAAAGCCCCAGAAAAGAAAACTTGCTCCCCAAAATAAAAAACCAAACCTTGAAGCATCTACATCCATTGTAATGTATTATAAAATCAATACTATAGATAACAGGACAACTCACTGGTGTAATTCTAAGAATGGAAATATCACATTATTTGGAAGTCTTAACTGTGTTTTCTTAACTAGATCCTGCTCCTTATCCTGACAATAACAAATGGGAAGAAAATGAGAACTGAAATGCTCAATTAGATCTCTTCCTTTCTTGATATATAGTAACTACATATTTGTAGGGTACAATGTGATATTTTAATTTATGTATACATCATATAAGGAGCAAACTAAAGGAGTAATTAGTATATTTATCTTATCAAACATTCATCAGTAATAGTATTCAAAATCCTCGCCAGCTATTTTGGGGATATACAATACCATTCTGTTAATAACAGTTACCCTATGTGCAACAAAACACCAGAATTTACTCTTCTTAACCACAATTTAGTGCCCATTGACCAACTGGGGACCACTGCTCTACCCATTTCTTCTATGAGGCCAACTTCTTAAATTGCCATGTGAGATCATGTGGTATTTCTTCCTATGTCTGTCTTATTTCACTTAATACAATGTCATCTAGCCCATCCAATGTGGTTGACAAGTTTCATCCATTTATATGTCATGACAGCTCCATCACATGTGTACACACATAACATTCCTATGTCATGACAGCTCCATCACATGTGTACACACATAAC